AATAATGTGTCAAACCTGAAGGCGAGGCTTCTGGTTGATTGATGCTGTATGTATCATAATCAATACCACAAAAATTCAAATACATCTACAAAAAATCATTAGCATTGTGTTTTTTATAAAGTTTCCATAACAAAAAACCATACTTGAATCTGTAAGCAATCTACGTCAAACCATGTAGATTTACCAGGGCCATAAACAAACAAGGTGTCTTTCTTTAGTAATTCGGGTTCATTGACAGCAGGATATACTTTAAGTGGAAAGTTTTTTAATTTCAGAAACTGTAAACAAGAAGGTAGTTCAAATGTTGGTAACTCGCCAAATCGTGAGCTTGGTGTGGTTGTCATTTTTGAAAGGAAAAAAAAAAGAAAGGAAGGGAGTGACTCCCCCTCACTGTCTGTCTGAGCTTCAAATTATCAATCGCCATTAGACGCGCGCATGCTTCAACGTTTTGATAAAAGCAGATAAAAAGCAGATAAAAAGAGGATGACAGAGTCTCATTAAAATAAAGGTTATAATGCACATAAAGTGTATCTTATTATGTAATTGCTTTGGGTTCCTTTTTGGATAAAAGACACGCGTTACGTGAAAGAGGAAAAAAGGATAAGATGATCTCTTTGTTACACTTTATGACTACTGTGTCTGTGTGGGGGAAGAGATCTTTTAAGAGATTATAAAACAAATACAATCCTAAGCATCGAAAATGAGGCTTTAATGATAATATTTAAGCTACAGTAGTTCTCTTTCTACAGCCACTTGAATATGGTTTTTTTTAAAAAATGAATTCAGCATCAATATGCTCCGCTTTTCTATTGGCCAAATCAGGCCATTTAACATTAGTCGATCTGACGTGGAATAGAATACAACAGTGGATATGATTGGGCAAATTTAGTAAAAATTGTCCATAATTCATTAAAAGTAGGCTGTAGATGGGAAAAAAAAGAGAAAGCGCGGACTGTTTTTTGTTTAACAAAAGATCTCTGATTCATCTATTGCGTCTTTCTCTCTCTTTCTTTCTTTCTTTCTTTCTTAAAATAGATTAGAATGCCTGAAGCTGTTCAAAAACGTAAAGCACAAGTTATGCATAACATATGAACTAAACTTTTTCGTATAGCTTTGCCTTTTGGTTTCCAGTTCTTGGCTGGCGCTATTGCTGGTGTATCAGAAATTCTGGTCATGTACCCTTTAGATGGTAAGTACGATAAGAAGGAAAGAAACTGCATGTATTCATTTACTTCAAGTCGTAAAGACAAGAGCTCAATTAAGTACTGGTACGAGTACTGGCATTATCGGCACAATGACATCCATGATAAAGACTGAAGGGTAATTACAAAAGAAAAGAAAAAGAATAGTATCGTTTCTAAACCAATATAACTCAGACCTGGTTCCTTATATCGTGGTATTTTACCACCCATCATGGTCGAAGCACCCAAGCGTGCCACCAAATTTGCTGCTAATGAACAATACACCACCATCTACAAGAAGCTTTTTGGCTTTGAGAAGATTACGCAGACCTTATCGATCATGACAGGTGTTAGTGCAGGTATGACAGAAGCTGTGATTATCGTGCCATTTGAATTGGTAAAAGTGAGGATGCAAGACAAGGCCAACGTAAGGAAAAGAAAAAAAAAAATACAGAACAGACAAGTTTGAACAATCATATATTGTGTAGTTGGGAAAATACAACGGAACGGCCGACACTATTAGAAAGATCGTTGCTGCAGAAGGTACATTGGCCTTATTCAATGGTTTAGAAGCTACCATGTGGCGTCATGCCGTCTGGAACGGTGCTTATTTTGGTCTGATTTTCAAAGTGAAAGATTTGATGCCCAAACCCAAGGTACACATAATAAAGAAAAGTGGGAAAATCGGGGTAACTAATATCCAAAGTTTAGGATCCTAATCAACAGCGTCTTACCAACTTTGCTGCTGGTACTGTTGGTGGTATCGTAGCAACCGCATTCAATACACCCATCGATGTCGTAAAGACTCGTATTCAAAGCTATAACGGTGTTGGTGTCAGAAAATATAACTGGACACTACCTTCCGTTGCTTTAGTTGCTAGAGAAGAAGGGTAATATATTGTTTTGAAAGTATAGCATGTAATTAACCCTTTTATAATAGATTCGCTTCATTGTACAGAGGATTCTTACCCAAGGTATTGAGATTAGGTCCAGGAGGTGGTATTCTGTTAGTGGTCTTTGAGACTGTTTCAAACTTTATCCGAAAGAACATCTTGAAGGAGTAATCGTTTGTAGATTTATTATTAAAAAAGAGGCAAAATAAATTAAGATTCCAGCATTCTTGGCTGTTGTAATGATTTTCTAACAAACAAGCTTCTAAATTTACCCATAACGCGCTGCTTCAGTAACTTTTTCTCATTATAGTGGTTATCTGTGGGCGCAATCTGCATCCTTCTTTTAAACATGCGCAAAAAGAACGATTTCTTTTCTGCGACGACATTTGGATAATAGTGTTGCTTGGTCTCTAAACCAGCAGACGACAGTGTCTCTTCTGAGACGACTTTGAATTTTGGTGGGGAATAAGGAGGGTGGTAAGAATAGGTCAAGATCGATTGAGGTGAGCTATGGCCAGTCAGTCGTCTTGGTTCCTCATCTTCTGCTGTAAGCCAAGGGTGTAGTAAGCATTCTTTGGCTGTAATTCGTTTTCGAGCATCTACACAGAGTAGTCGTCGTATCAAGTCAGCTGCTTTACTTGGTGTTTGAGAGGGTATCTGATATTCTCCTGCTTTAATCTTTCTAAACAGTTCTGGCATTTGATCAGCTTGAAAAGGTAAGGATCCTGTCAACATGGCAAACAAGATGACTCCACAGCTCCATAGATCAGCAGGCGGACCTTCATAAGGTGTGGCAGTGACCATTTCCGGTGCTGCATAAAACGGACTGCCACAGTAAGTGCTTAGAATATCCCGTCGTTGCTTTACCATATTTCCAAATCCGAAATCGCACAGTTGTACTTGAGACGCATTGTTGATGAGAACTATGGATATTGCAAATTAGTCTTGATCTATTGAAATCAAGAGTTTTCTTTCTATATCTCTCTTTCTTCTACTTGCCATTCTCTGGTTTTAGATCTCTGTGTACAATGTTATTCTAAGGGGGGACAATTGATTTTTAGCTTAAAATAATAGGATAAATGTATATTAATGTACATCATGAATATAATCAACTGCTTCAATAATCTCTCGAAACCATTTACGAGCCAACCGTTCGTTCAGCCTTTTCTGCTCTCTTATCTTATGAAACAATTCTCCACCTTCAACGTATTCCATAATGATGTATATCAAGTCTTGTTCTGTAAAGACATCATAGATCTGCACGATATGTTTATGTGTCAATCGTTTGGCAAACGTTTCACAGATCTTTTGCTCTCGTTCTGCATGCAATTTTTGATCTCCTGCCTTGAATATCTTTTTATCGACCACCTTGGCAGCACACTTTTAAAGGAGAGTTTAGAGAAGTGGTGGTTTATTAAATCTAACTTACCAATTTCCCCGTGGCTTTTTCTTCTACTAAATAAACTTTGCCAAAGTTACCACTTCCCAATGTATGCAGCTTGGCATATCTGCTTTCAAATGTGCCTTTTCTCGATCTTGATTTTACCTGTTGTATGTATCAATGGAGTGTATTTATTCGTCCTTTATTCATATTACCTCCATGAGTCTATTCATAACGCTCTTTTAACACACGCACACAAATACACACACGCGCACACACAAGTGTAAAAAATGAGAAATGAAGAAGAAATAATAAAACTATCCGAATAACTTTTGAAGCTTCTTTCTTTAGCCTGCATCAAAATTCAAAGAATTTTTCATTCTCTCTCTCTTTCTTTTTCTTTTTGTACGCATTGTTGTTATTGTATTTAAAGTGACACGCTTTTTTCTTTTTCTTTTTTTTTTTTTTTTTTGAAAAATGGCAGAACAAAACTTGTCCTATACCCCACCACGATTACCAAAGTCAATCAAGTCAGCGTATGAATAACCATAGCTAAACAAAGGAGAAAGACTAAGTACCCTTTTAGTGATAGATCAAGCGAGATCTATAGCAAACTGGAAAACGAATATGAAATGCTAAAGCAATTACGAGCAGTATGGGTTGAGAAACTAGGACACTTAAAAGTAAAACCTTTGTTTTTGATTTATGAATTATACAAACTAACTCATATATTAATAGAAACAACATGATATACTTGTAAGAATGCAGAATGTAACAGAAGAACAAGTAAAAGGTGTCAATTCCTTATACTCAACAGAACTAGACAATGATGATGATACGACAATAACAACCATCACACAAAATGATCATTTAGAAAATGAAGAAAGTGAAGAAGAACAAGAAGAGGATGAAGAAGAAGCCAGAAGAGCCTTGACGCTTATGTTGGAAGAATTCGGAGATGATATGTTTATTGACAAAGAGGATAACTAGGACGAATATCAACAGGTATACCAGCATGATCAATACGATCCAGAGCATCTTTTGTGTTTACATCCAATACACCATACTTTTTCAAAAAGGCGGTGACTGCCTGCTTATCACCATCTCCTTGAAGCACCAAGATATCGTGTGTCAAATCAGAGACAGCTGAACGAATCTTTTCAAAGTCAACACGGAACACTTTATCTTGATCATCATAAATAAAGCCTCCCTTTTCTACTAGGTAGTTCAGTTGCATGGCTTGACCTAATCCATGCGCTTCTTGAATACCAAATCGAATCGATCGGAAGGCTGAAGCTAAGAATGTGACCCAGAATTGCTCTTGGGTGACATTGTCAATGGTGCCACAATCGACCATGATATCAGCTGCAAAAAGAGCAGCAATATCAGCCTTGGCTTCTTCAAAGGCAGAGTGATGTTCTTGTAGCTTTGAACGGATGGTGTGTCCATCGAGGGTATGATGAGGACCATTGCTATGACATACTTCATGAAGCAAAACGTGTGTAGTGAATGCATCTTTGCTCAAGTATTGAAGTTGGTCTTTGGCCAGGATCTGACCCGCAATGGGCTTGAGGACATGTTCGAATTTTCCTTCTTGAACATTCTTGATCAACACCAGTTTAGATCCTCCTCTCTTGATGACTTCTTCATCGTTTGGAAGATTGTATGCAGCAGTCATGGGAACCTAATCATATTTAGTTTCACAGACAAACACAAAGATGCAACTTACAGCGACATCACCAGCAGAAAAGAGTTGATTGACGACGACGATAGGGGCAACGACCAGGTCCTTATTGCGATACTTTTCAGGAATAGGCAAACGATCTTCAACAAACTGAAGGTCGGAGAACTTTTCGAGTAAACGAGATGAATGAGCGTCACGAACATGAATATAGAATTCATAAGCACTCTTGAATGTAAAGAGACCATCTGTGTACTGTTCATAAGGGCCAAGCGTGATTTCGAGATTATTGAATTTGCCAAGCCGGAGCCAATCAAGTTCAGAATCCATATAGTCGTTGGTTTCAAATGCCTTGGCACGAGAAGTTAAAAATTCATAAATATTAGTTCCTTCATGTCCCTTTTCGTACACATCCTTTAATTCCTCAGCAGCATCGCGAATATGAGCCGCTGCAGGCTTTAAGAGATCAGAGAAGGCTTCTGAATAAGGCACTGACTTGAGCTGCCCCTTGTCGTCGCGTCTGATGACGGTATAATAACTCTTGGCTCGCTTCTGTTCTTCTTCTGGCAAAGTAGCTACCCAGCTCTCGAATTCCTCCTTTGACATGTCTTCAGGATAGAAATTTCCACCTTCAGGACGTTTAGGAGCACCGTCTACAAATACAGCATTGTCGTCTTCACGTGCCTACTGAGTGTAAGCATTGATGTTCTTATACATATATTATACTTACCCAAGGTCCTTTATACATTTCAAACAAGGTGCACAAGTCCTTATTACCTTCCTTTTGTAACTTCTCGCGAAGTGCTTCATTGCCTGACCATGCCTGTCTCATGTAGAGTTGATCAATATACCTGCCTGCCTTGACCAAGTGTTTCAAGGCAGCGTGTTCTTTAGGATGCAAGTGAGATAAATCGGCAGTACACTCATAAAGTGCAAAGCGAGCAAGGCGATCAGTCAGTGAACGAATACTAGTAGTCATATAGAAGAGAGAAAGAGAGAGGGGGGCATTGAACAAAAATGTAGCGTGGGCAAAATAAATCAAAGAACTCAATGAAACCCAGAAGCCGAAAAAGTAAATTTGGCGCTAAAAAAGGGAAAATACGACATTCAGGGCTCCTGTCAACGCCATTTTTTTTTTTGGAAGAAAATGCAGAGATTGAATAGAACAGTTTTGTATGGTTGGGGACAAACGCAGGCGTTACCCTTGTTGAAGGGTTCCATGGATAGAGTATTGAATAAACCTCAGCTTTTGAAACAATTGGATGATTATGCTTTACCTGTAATTCAAGAAAAGAAAAGAAAAAAAAAAGCTAATTGCTTTTTTGCTAGAAAGACGAGACTGTGACGCATTTGGCCGCTGGTTGGGGTCATTCTCTCCTTGGTACAGACGTGAATAGTGTATATAGCTTTGGTTTGAATAAGAGTGGACAATTAGGAAATGGCAAAATTTCCAATCGAGGTGGATCAAAGATCTACAGTGACAAGGAGAACAAGATAAAATTCTTGGCGTGCGGAAGAGAGCATTCACATGTTGTAACAGAAAAGAATAAAAGTAAAGAAAAAAAGGAGAAGAAGGGGGAAAGGGGAAACAGATGTTAATGTTGATATAGAAACTCAGCTGTATTCGTTTGGCAATAACATGTATGGACAATTGGGAATAGGAAAAAACAAGAACACGGTGCCAGGAGAGCTAGCTGCAGAAAGTACATTACAAAAGGTGGAACTGGATGGAGTGATTGAGCACATTGTCTGTGGTCTAGACAATACTGTATTAGCCACAGGTAAGATGATCAATCATATTCATAAGGTTATAACTTTTATGTAGATCATCTTGTCTACGCTATGGGATGGGGTGCTGATGGACAACTAGGACAAGGGTGTGATGATAAGGACATTCCGAGTCAAGTGTCCATCAACTGTTCAATAAAAAAACTATCGTCTTCAACAGATTTCACTCTCCTACTCACAAACAAACATACACTCTGGACCTGGGGGAACTCGGAGTATGGTCAGGGCATGCAGGGAAAGAAGATTGACAGGGTAAATAAGAAATGGGTAATCAGAATATGTATACGCCCTTACCATATAGTAGATTCTAGAGCCATTAAAAGTCAACATAGGTCGGGTGATGGATGTGGCAGCCGGAGGTCCTTTCTCAATCGTCTTGACTGAGGACGGTCATGTTCACTCATGCGGTTATGGCGCTCTTGGTCTTGGCCCTGAAATGATCGAAAGTTTAGAGTTGAAGGAAATAAAGGGATTAGAAAAAGTTGTCAAAGTGTACGCCTCAACAGATTACGCAGCAGCTCTGACAGGTAGGTGCATGTGTACACAATATTGAGCCTAATTTGTTTTGTAGACGATGGACAACTTTATACATGGGGGCTGAATGGGCCTAGTGGTCGATTAGGACTAGGTCATCATGAACATGCGTTTGTGCCTAGTCGCGTGAATGTAGATAGAAAGGTGCTTGATGTTTCTTTGGGCGTGAATCATGCAATGATTTTATGTGAAGACGTATAAATAAACATATGCAAGCGCACATGGCTTGATTGAATGGACCAATGATACTTTTATTTTTTCCCTCCTTTCTTTTGTATATACACACACACACACACAAAAATGAAGGTAGGATATCAACGGGTTTATAGAGAGAGGGAGATTAGACGGAAAGAACATACGAAATATTATCTTAAACATATAAAGACCGGTTGCATGCATAAAATGAAAGTAAGGGGGAAAGAAGCGCCCTTGATAATGAGTCTGGACAGATGGATACACACACAAGGAGACAAAAGAAAGAGAGAGAGAGAGAGAGATGAAGGAAAGGGGAGGAAAAGAAAAGGACTGACAGAAGATCAAGATAACATGGTTATAAATAGATTAAATGTTGTTTAAACAAGTGTCACGCAAATGGACAATGAATGAGTATGTATACAAGGAGAGAAATCGATTGCCACACAAACAATCAAGACCATCCGCATGAATGCCTTTTCAGACCACATGTTTATTATAATTACGCATAAAAAAAAGATATATAACAATAGTTTGTCATTGAAATATCAAAAATAGAGTAGTAAAAACAATAAAGAAATGTCACAAAGTAAGTTTACAGGTTGTATGGCCATCATGCATTTGTATGTGTATATTTTTTCCCTCCTTTTTTATTTTCCCTCCTTATTTTTAAATTAACTTTTCTATTAAAATCACTTTTTCTTCTTTTTTCCTTTCTTCTTCTTTACACAAAAAAGTAATGAATAACAACTATTCAACCATTTGCTCAAAGGAGAACAGTAAGTGATATCCTTTGATAAAAAGTCAAAATGTAATTTTTGTGTATCTGTAGCACAGCACACAATGACTTCGACATGTCGATACGATTCATCTCTTGGTCTATTAACCAAAAAATTCATTGCACTACTTCGCTCAAGCGCTCATGGCGACCTTGACTTGAATTGTGCCGCATCACAGCTAAAGGTACAAAAGAGGCGTATCTATGATATCACAAATGTACTCGAAGGCATTCAATTGATTGAAAAGAATTCAAAAAATCACGTACAATGGATGTAAGTATACGACTTTATCTATCTTGTGATACTAATATAGAAACAGAGGAAACATGCAGGATACATGTGAGATAACTAAACTTCAACAACGACTTCAGTCATTAAAGAATCAAAACCAAAGCTTAGAAAAAGAATATAAACAACTGAACGGTATCAAGCAACAAGTCGACCTTGACATCGAGCGGGTTCTCATGTCAAATGGATCTGATTGTTATCTTACTCTTGATGATCTAACAAGATTTGAACTCATGATTAATGCAGAACGTGAATCCTTTGTAGTGGTGAATGCACCATATGATACAGATATTGAGGTTCACACAAATGATTATTATCCTACCAAAAAACTGACTGATAAGAAAAAGGTAAATATAAGATAATGTGTGTATATTTATATTAATAAATATGAGTAGATAACCAAAACAAAGTGTTATATTCGTGTCTCAGATTGCTCCAAACAGCATCTACGTGTATCTTTGAAGCAAAAAGGATATTAATTCTTTATTTAAAATAAAATTAAAAAAGAAAAAAAAGGGGGTTGATAATAACACCATATTAATATAAATGCATGTCTTTATGCATATTTACAGTGTTACACGTCAAACTACTCTTTTGAGTCATTCAACAAACAAGAGTATATATCAGCATGGAAGGAGGGGTTAATCTTTCTGCATGATAATAAGACCAAATACATACATATTCAACAAAAAGGTCCCCCCTTTCTTTCTTATATGACTTTTGAGATCCATGATTGTTACTTATTTGGTCATTATCATTTATAAAAGCTCAAGTGCCGAGAAATATTTAGTTAATTAACATGAGGCATCTGCTTTCTGTCTTTCGACGTACTGTAATTAGTCGATCCTCCAATCCTTCTTTAACATACATGATCAACAGCTACTCTTGATGGAATTGTGGCTGTTTCTTGTAAACCTGTTTCTTTCTTCTTTTTTTGTTCCTTTTATTGCCAGCAAAGGCTCCATAAACCCTCCTCCTTATAAAGGAATTCTTTCACGTTGTAATGGCATAAAAGTTGCAGAAAAAAAAAGGCTAGTCAAACACCTGGACTGATCGGGTTATAGTTCCAAATTTGGAGACTTTGGGAGAGCGGTCCTTTCTTTGATTGAAAAGAAATCAATAAAGAGAAAGTGAATGCCTGTCATTGTCTATTCTAATCCATGCGCTCTATTTATATTATCGAATGCAACTATGCCACAACGGGGCAAGGATATATCTTGGGTCAGGAGGGAGCCATCGATGTTCCTTTTGTCCCTTTTTCCTTTGTAATAATTATCAATTGTGCGTCCTCTTTGTGTGAACAGTAAGAAACAAAAAAAAAAAAAAAAGTAGTGCTCGATATTTCAAAGGAACAGGTGGTCAAGATAAACGAGGAGTTACAGCAGCGGCTTACATGATTTATAGACAATGCTTTAAAGTAAAATTTGCTTTCTTTCGTCTAACATATTTATGAATAAAACTGATGCAGCACTTTTAGGATACTAAACTTTTTTCAAAATCGATATGTTGCTAATCTATAGATACACTTTTTTCAGATCAGCAATTGCACTTTAATCAATATTTTCTTTATTATTTCCAGCTTGATAGCGTATAATAATATATAAAGCGAGCTTCATCTTTTTTGAGAAAACAGGAGGAAGAGACTCCTTATAATGTGGTCAGCACTTGACAAGTTTACGTACTTTTCTTGTTTCTCTCTTTTTTATAAACTCTCCTCTTTTGATACAAGTATTTAATGTAATAAATGATCATTCTTTTTACTTTTGATGGGCTCTCTTTTATCATCATTTGCTGTCTTTTTCTTTTCTATCAGTGTGCGAATAATTTCTGAATAAAATGCAGTCAATCAAAATACCATGAAAGGTTTTTAACAAAGGGATATTCTTGTAAAAAGTATATTCTTACTAAATACTTGAATCCTTGTGGATGTGTACCCAATGAGCTGTATAAATTATGGCTTCTCTTTATCATTATTAACTGGCATAACATGGAAGAAAAAATAATTTCCTCTTTAATGACACAACATTGAAACACTTGGAGAATTACCTGAAACACGATGCTCTCTTTCTTTCTCCCTCTATCCCCTCTCTCTGTGCGTGTGTTCCGTTCTTAGAGCCGCAATGGCTGCCTTTATATAACCAAATTTGTACTGTGTTTTCTCTTGTGTTGGCGCGTTGAAAGAATAACGGTATATCCACTCTCTCATTTCAATATCTATGATGCATATTCATCAACTGTATTCTTGTGTTTGAGATTCCAGACACACGACTAGTTTGTGTAATTAAAACTGCGCGAATGTCACTTGCCATAGTCAGCGTCATGTCTGCGCGTGCCTGCAGCATCAATAAATAGCCATAGTTCCGTTTGTACCACACCCCCAAGATATGACACTGTTTCAAAAGGAATGAGCATAAAAGGGAAATGAAATGTTTATATATAGGGGGATATATAATTGTATATATTTATAATGTTGTCATGTTATCATTATTATTAAAAAAAAGGGGGGGGGCAAAGCAGATCTCTCTAGAGATTACTTGTGTTCATCTGCATCAAAAATAACGGAATTATCCGAGGTAGGTTCTTGTGGTTTAGATAATCGCATATCCAGTGCTTTTAATGCCAGTGCCCTTAAAAAAAAGAGGGGTTATAAATAACTTAAAATAATGCATAACTACACATTTACCTTCTCCTTTCTGCTTCTGCACGGGCTGAGCCTGGTTGAGGTGTAGTATTGCCTAATTCGAGATCTCGATAACTGCGTGCGCCTGGTTTACAACATTTTAACTTGACAAGAAGATCGTAGACATGATTAGAGATCACCATGACAACAGGACTATATATGTATATCGTTACTATAACAATAACGTTGTAAAATGATTCTTACTGTAAGAATTCCGGAAAGAAGGTATGGATAGCAAATGCTTCACTTTGATCACCTTGGATACCATCTTGATATTTAAAGAATCGAATATAAATCCAACCTATGATCCATCCAATATTCACTAAATTATAAAATACGATCGCTTTCATCAAGATAAGACTAGCAATACTAACGGCCGTAGCTACACCCAACAAATTCTAAAGAACATCAACAATACGTCATTTATCATACACATGTAAAGAAACCAACCTTGACACGAATAGATATTTTGCCTCCTAGGATAGCTAGACGATGTTCAGGCACTAGATGCTTAAAGGCAACTAAGAATGCTGAGAATACGCCCGCCATACCATTGATTTGTATTTGATATCTGTATACAGCTATAAACAATAGATTCTGATAACAAGTGTGGTCAACTTACAAATAAGTGTCGTCTCCTGATAGATAAAAAGTGAAAACTAAGCCAAACCAGGTGACGATGTTGGATAAAATAGCTGTGATGACAATGAACTTTAATAATTCTCTTGATCCCCAAGCCCGTTCCAGGTATTTTCCACAGAATAACAATACAATAATACTAAATGTAAGCTAATGGCTTGTTAACACATACAATTTATGAGTCAGGTTGTTCCTTACTGAAAAAGGGTTATTTTCATAGAAAGTGGCTGTCAACAATGTCCAAGGTGCATAAAATATACTAAAAAGATGAATATAGATGTATATGATGAACAAGTGACATTTACAATCCTGGCACTAGTCCAATAAAAGGACAGACTGCTTGCTTTGGTTCATCAAGACTTGTACGATAAATATAAACATAACAGCCAACTGAGACACAGAATAGAGTAGACACTAATGCCTTTGTTAAAGAAGGTACATTGGTCACTAGATTCATCTTGAAAGACATTGCTACCCCCAAAAAGTTTTTTTTCTTTACTTTTGAGCCGCTGCTCACGTGACATTCACGTCCATTCATGATGAATGATAAAAAGGGAAATGAATATGTGTGTAACAAGGAAAATGACGAAAATAAAGTTCAAACTAAAAAAAAGGGGGGGAGGACAGGATGCGTTTGTACACTCCCCCCGAAAAAATGATTACATTTTTTTGTATTTTTTTTTTCTTCTTTCTTTCTTTCTTCTTTTCTTTCCCTTTTTTCCTTTTTCTCTATTTTTTAAAACTAAAACATACATTACCTTTTGATACGCTTTTATATACAAGTATTATGTCAGCAATCAAGGCAATACCTAAACCAAATACAATACAGAAATTAACCAGTGTAAATGAGCAAGTTTGGTTAAAACTAGGTAGGTATACACAACATGTGTGTATATGTGTGTGTATGTGTGTGTGCGTGTGTAAATAAAGGAGATGACGGAGCCAACTGAGAGGAAAAAAAA